CTTTAAAATAAATTGCTTCAGACATGTAACATTTAAGCATTAATTGTTTCTGGAGTAAACTGAACTTGGAAAAAACTACTTAAAAAGGTAATATAGCAGTTACATTTCTGTTTTTAAACTGAACGAGCTAAGAATACCGTTTGCAAGCACAGTCTTAAAGATTGTAGATTATTATTTTAGACGTATTTGTATTTTGAGTAGATCTATTCTCTTCTAATATTTGTCAATCTCTTGGAAATATAACATCAATGCATATTTAAAACTAGTCAGTTTTAGGTGATAAACAGATGGTCCCCATGTAAACTGAATATTAATCTTCTAATTTTATTATGTGTGATTATATGAATGAAAGTAATTTTATTAACACTTATTGTGGAGAAATATTGATTTGAATAGTTTTAGTTTTTTAATCAGTTTATGGGTCTGGCCACCAAATGGCAGTCTTGTTCTGCTCTTAAAAGCAAAACTGAGTGTAAATCTGGCAGAGGATAAAACATGGAAACGGAAGAAAATGTTAATGTCTCCAATTCAGAAACCTTAGGAGCGCACAATCTATAGTGCTCTGTGCTGTTATAGCGAATGTATTCTAGAACAGATTGTGTTGAAATATCATCTCCTAGCAATGTGGTATTTTTTCTTACTTCCATTTTTATTGTTTAGGTGTGTGAAATCTCAGCCACACAGCCATATGTTGATGAATTGCCAGGTTGCCTATTAAATTTCAATAAAGTGAGCACCAGGCCTGGTTTTAGTTTTTTTATAATGCAGAGGAACTTCGTGATGGGCATGACCAAATGACTCACTATTGGGAAGAGGTGCTGGTGACCTATTTGTTAAAGTTTTACAACAATGATTTGCTGTTTCTGTATCAACAGTACGAAGAACATAAGATAAAAACCCATAATCTGTTACTTTTATTGATCTCATTCCAATTGCAAACACTTTGGGGAACATTATTGAAAGCAGATGGCAGATGTGTAGTGGAAAGTTTTTACTAGATTTGACATCTACTAGAATTACAAACATCTACCAGAATTATAAAAATATTAAGTGGAGTGGAGTTCCAATAGAGAAACTATTGAAGTCTGGGATTTTCTTAAAGGTCAATTGAAGCCAACTTAGAAAGAATCGTAGGATTGGGAGGGACCTGGAATTCTTCAAATCCAATCATTGCCCATGCAAGAATCTCCAGACAAATGACTGTCTAATCTTGCTTGAGAATCTCTAACGATGAAGCACCTGGAACTATAGGAGGCAATATGTTCCACCATCATGAATCATAGCACACATTGCTATTATTCTTTGATAAATGATATCAAAATACCTTAATGCCCAGTATTATTATATATTATATTTTATCTATTACATATTTTCTGTTGTTAAGTCAGTATTTTATTTCATTCATTATCTACCTTTCAGAGAGAAAAGCAAGATAAACTCTTAATGTTCACAATTGAAGGCTAGACTTGTCATGCCAAGGAGCATACTCCAACAGGTATCTGGGGCCAGACTGCATTAATTCATTACAAGTTACATCATTCATATCAATAATCCTTCAATTTGAACTTGGTTCCTGGTAATTTCATGGATATATTCATTTGTTTTACTTTGCAACAATCTACCAATAGTAATGGTTTACCATTGTTTTCTTCTGGAATCTTTTTCTAGTCTAGACTGGCCAATAATCCAGGAATGCCTTGAAAATCTCCAATCTAATTTATGTTCTGAGCCGACATAAGGTTGACCAGGTGCTATTGTTGTTCTCCTGATGCTTTGTGAGAGCATGTGCATGGAGCATGGAAGCTCTTGTACAGTTTCATGTTTTGCCTGTGCTTGTTTTAGCCATGAATCTAGTTTAAACTGAGGTTATTGTATAAACTAAGCAACAATATCAATGTGATTTCTAGTATCCAATCCGATTTAATTGATATCTACTATTAGATATCAGTTGCTGTAAAAGCTTAGTGCAATGGCTTAGTGGCTAAAATGTGGAGCTTGTTGATCAGAAAGTTCGGCAGTTCGGCGGTTCGAATCACTAATGCCATGTAATGGAGTGAGCTTCTGTTACTTGTCCCAGCTTCTGCCAATTTAGCAGTCTGAAAGAATATAAAAATGCAAGTAGAAAAATAGAAACCACCTTTGATGGGAAGGTAATAGCGTTCCATGAGCCTTCGGTGTTTAGTCATGCCAGCCACATGACCACGGAGATGTCTTCGGACAATGCTGGCTCTTTGGCTTTGAAACAGAGATGAGCACTGCCCCTTAGAGTCGGGAACAACTAGCACATATGTGCAAGGGGAACCTTTACCTTTTACTTTATAATTGCTGTATGGTTTCTCAGCTAAGATGGAGCTTCTTACTCATTTACAGAGGATGCCCTTGAAAAACAATCTCAGTTGTTCCAACCTTTAAAAACAGGAAGGTTTTTTGCTTAACTGAAAAAACTCTTGCAGCTTAATGATGTGAATATCACCATGGAGATTCCCCCCCCCCCACATTTTTTTTCCCTGCAGTTGTTTCTTTTACGTGTACATTCCCTGGCTTTTTCCTAAATCTTTGTCTTGCGATTTGGACCATAAATTAAGAAGGGGAAGTACAATTTATCTGTGGCAAATGTATTTTACAGTTTTTTTGTAGCAACACATTTGTGTAATGACTAAATGAAGTGGGTTGTGTGAATAAAAGACTTTGAGTCAAACACAATAGGGAGGAAATATGTGATCTAGTTAATTTGAGAGAATGAGTCAGTCAGCTGCCTTGGTAATTTTGAGAGATAATATACAACTGATCTCTTTCTGGACATATGGTGCAACTTTAGAAGAATTGTTATGATTACAAGTGCTTTAGGTTTTTTTTAAAAAAAAATATTTTAATTGTTTAGATTTAAGCTGTTTCACATGAATTCCTTTTGTGAAAATAAAATCTGGCTTTCTTTGGTGAAATACATCAAACACTGCAAAGAACGAATTCTCGATATAGAAAATATCCAGCGGATGCTATGGTCTTTCTGCAGGATGATTCTCAGAACAAAATTATGGCTGAATTGAACACCATGTCAGCAAATAAATAGCAAAGATATATTAATACGGCTAATGATTCCTGTCTGTTTCCTTTCCATGTGCAGAGATTTTAAAACATAATTGGCAGTCTGCAGAGTATGTATGTATTCCAACTTTGAGATGAAAATTAAGACGGCTAACACCCAACTACAAAAAACCCCAGAATAAATAACATTTTAAATTCTGCGATGACATATCTAACACCATCAAACTTCCACACCTGCCTATACCCAGGTCCTTGGGAAGGATTTGATAGGTGGATAAAAATGTCAAATTCAATCTGAACATCTGGCTGACTGTATGATGAAACAATTAGAAATACCCTGTTTCCCCAAAAATAAGACAGGGTCTTATTTTCTTTCAATCCCCAAAATAAGCACTCGGCCTTATTTTTGGGGAGATCTTGTTATTTTTGAGGTGCAGGAGGCAGAGAGAGTGGTCACCTCATGGCTGCTGCTCTGTTGCAATATTTCCTGGGAGGGCTTATTTTTTGGGATGGCTTATTTTAGTGCATGCACTCAAAAGCCAGATTGGCCTTATTATCCAGGGAGGTCCTATTTTCAGGGAAACAGGCTAGTGGTGTCATATTCTTCTCCATCTGCTGAGGGAAGGTGATCAGTTCTAACATAGATGGATTCTTTTATCTTTCTTTCAAACCAATGGCCGTCACTTTTTGTAAAAGTCCAGTTTACAATGTAGCCCCTGATTTCACAACTAATTGCACCCTGTTTTAGGTAAACCCGAGGGCACAGATAACCCCCCCAAGTGTCCTCAACAGCTCTCAGAGAGTGCTAATGACCAGATGACTGTGAAGAAATACAATCCTTCCATCCCCCCCATCCTACCATAATCTACCCTTCCCTTCCCCCATCAGAACTGATGAAGCTTCTTCTTTTCTTCTTCCTCAAGAAAAATCAATCCAGCTACCTTTTGCCAGCTACCTTTTGAAGAAGAAAAAAACACCTTTGAGATTGTTGACTCACATTCTCTTTGCATTTCTTCTAATATTGCAAATAGTATTATCAAGTCAAGTATCCACCAATCTTTACCAGAGCATTTGACATTTATTTCACAACTAAAGAATTCTGCACTCTTCAATTTCATTCTGTTACTTTTAGCTCATTTTTCTAATTTTTTCTTTCTTCACAGCAACTCTACAGTTCCATTTCTTTGTCTCACTGTGATGAGACAACATTTTCGTTTCCTGTATGTTCAACTTTTGCTTCTATTTATTGTTTTCACTTTTTCTAGAGATACATTGACTTCTTTTGCTGTTCACATTTTCCTCCTCATTGGCATGAGTTGAGGCTAGTGAATGATGTTATAATAATCATAATCATGCTGGATGGGGAATTCTGGGTTTTGAAGTCCACACATCTTAAAGTTGCCAAGGCTGATGAAAACCCATTCCACTTCCTTATCTTTATGTACTTAAGAAGATGTGAAGTTGTCTGAAAGAGTTCCAAGCTCGGAAGTCCCACACTCTCTCTTATACATCTCCTTCTACTCATAAGTAGAAGTCATAAGTCACAAGTCTAAAAGGAAACACTGGATACAAGGAATTTGTTCCTTCAATCACTTTGATTTCAGTTAGTGGATGATTGACTTGGCAGGTGCTTAGCAACTCTCATTTTATTAATTTTACTTTAAAAATATATCTCTTATGAAACAAAATGGTAATTATTAGCACTTTGCTGCACTTTGCCTTTGGCTCCAAAAACATTTTTGCAAAATCAGTCTGCCTTAAAGCATCTATTTTATTGCTTGGAATCCTGCCACTTTCTTCATGAAGGAATGAAACATCCAGCTTCAGACTTTTGCAATGTAAACAAGGGGAAAGGTGACGTAGAAGTGTTTGGTGGTCTTATGCAATAAAATATTTTAATGTAACGTTTTGTGTACAGCATGTTTTGGAATAATTACATAATTTTCATATTGCAGGTGGTGTGCCTTCAGGATTTTTTTGGTGAGGATGACATATTTATTGCATGTGGCCCAGAAAAATTTCGTTACCAGGATGACTTCTTGCTAGATGAAAGTGGTAAGGAAATATTATTGTTCATTATAATATAAGATGGTGATTTTATGATACACATTTTGAATTTTCCAGTTATATCCTTATGTAAAGTTCTTGGTGTTTTCTGCACTTGCTTGTTTGCTTGGAGATGTTTCATTATCCAAGCAGGTAATAGCATCAATGTGCGTGATTGAATAAGTGGATTTGCTTCTCTTTATATACAGTAGCTTGCTTTACCAGTTATGATGAGGGTGTGGTTTTCTCCTTGGTGGGTCCTTGATTAGAGTATTGTTTTCTACATGATTGTTTATCCGCTGTTGATTCCTGTTTATGTGAGGATTGACTGCTGAAGGGGATGTGTCATAGTCTAGCAAGCTACTATATATAAACAGGCTGCAGACCCTACATTCACTGGCGTTAATTTATGTATTTACTAGTTGATAACCCGGCATTGTCCGGGTATGTATTTGTCCCAAGCCTCCTTGTGGAGTACTGTGAAGCCATTACCATGGCAACTCCACTGTGCTGTACAGTAGACACCATTTTAAGGTACAACAGGCTGTATCTTAACAGAATTTGAATCCAAAATGCACAATATCACTGTCAGTACTGTGACTTGACATTATAGATATAATTCAGTCTTTTTCATTTTAGTGGCCCAGGCGTCCCAGAGTTATGGACTGGAACACACATGGACACCCCACTAAGGGGTGTTATGAGTGTCTTACTCCCACAGTATTTTTTTCAGAGAGTAAGTCATCTGTGTATAGTTGAAATTGTTTGAGGCATTCTAGAGGTTATGCTGGAACAACTACCCACACCCACCCATTATATATATGTGTGTGTATGTGTATGTATGTATGTATGTATGTATGTATGTATGTATATATATATATGTGTGTGTGTGTGTGTGTGTACACACTTACACATTTATTTTTGCTACAATTTATATAGCCACTTACCTCCCTTTCATGATTCTGCAAGCAAGTAGCTAAACTCAGAGAGTGCCAAGAACTCCACAATTAAACCCTGAGCTACATATATTCTTTTCTTTTGGAATGACAATACTTTGGGATAGGAGAATTAAATTAAGCCCTATTAAGAGTACCATAGTCATATAACTTTAACATTGTGTCAAAGACAATCATAAGACCGATCCCAAGATTTTTTGTTCAAAAGTACAAACCAGTCTTTGCCAGACTGAACATGACCCAGATATGTGGATTTTAATGTCTACCTATTAAGGTAGCTACTGAAATTACTTTGTTGGGGGAAGAGTTTGGTTCAGAGACTTGAAATGTCAGCAAATCAAAAAAAGTATGAGGTTCTTTATGATAGCTAAAAAATGAAGACAGAACTATTTAATAAAACTGTTTAATAATGCCAGTTAGGATGACTGCTCTATTGCGGTTTCTATGTTCACAGAGCCAGTATAAGCCATTATATGCTGGCTGGTGGGTAGAATCCATAACAGGAATACCATCCATTGTGGAAGTAGGAAGTTGGACAATATTGTTTAATCAAGCATTGCCAATATTACATCCTTAAATGTGCATTTGTTTATATTATTAAAGGCAGACTAGGAAGCAGATCCATAATTGTCACATTTGTATAACATACACATAACTTCAGGGGTGGGATTCAGTTGGTTCACACCATTTCGGGTGAAACAGATATTAATTTTGCATCCGATTTGCTGAACTGGTTATTGCAAGGACCCGCTGGCCCTGCCCATCCCACCCTGCCCCTCCCAGGAGTCTCCACACAGTCCGCTCATTACCTCAGGTAAGTGCAGGGCCCATGCGGAGGTACTGGGAGGGCAAAAAATGGGCCTCCCAGAAAGTCTGGAAATGAGCCCAGAGCCCAGGGGAGGCCTTTTTCTTCCTCCTGGAAGAAAAGCATCCGGAGCCTGGGGAGGGCGAAAATGCCCCCCTGCTGCCATGGTACAGGAGACTGAGTAGGCCATGCCCACCCTGGCCACACCCACCCAATAATCAGGCGGGGAACTAGTTGCTAACATTTTCCAATCCCACATAACTTTTACACCAAATTACTGTACAACCTCCCTCACTGGTTATTAAAAGAGATGAATAGTCTCCTGATTATTCTGAGACAGAAATATTTGAATATCTCATGTCATCTTAATTTGTTATCTTGAGCCTAGTTTCCTTAGTGCCAACATTTCTCGGTCTACTCTGATTGGCAGCTGACATGTTGCCAGAAACTGTAATACCTCAGAAGTGTCATATTTAACCTTGATTACTGAGGCAGAGCGGAAGAAGGAATAAGATCCATCTGTTCTGATTTATGGAGCACTGGTTAAATAGTTTTTTTGGATTGTGCTCTGGCAGCTGGTTTGTCCACCACCCTGCATCAGGGGAAGGCACCTTCCTGGTACAAAACCATCCTTAGGCATATGAAAAATCTCCTACATTATTGCTGATTTTAACAAGGGAGCCAGTTCTCAGATGTCACAAACTTGCAATCTGTACCAAATACAACATGATTAATTAGTGCATTATCTTGCAGTGACAAGGTCTGGCAAATGAGCCATTACATGAGTCACTGTATGGGACTCTGAAATGTTTTTCCCCACTTTCAATATAAAGGCATGCCAGGGGGAGGGGTTGACTTGTAGAGAATAAGAAGATTGAGATCTACTTGGGTAACTTTTAATTGTTTTAATGATTACATAGCAAAAGAAGAATTTTCCCAGGGTGCCAATGAAGGTCATGCTTTAACGTAGTTTCACCCTTTGATTCAAGAATGCATTCTGCTTAGAAGAGAGCAGTGAACTCACAACCTTGACTAATTTCATTTTATTTTTGCCAAAGATGGTATCCAGATATAACTCAGCTCTAAGATGGGACTGTAATGCAAGGAGTTATTCCATTGTAACAATGCTTTTATTTTGTAACTAAATGACTTACAGGCTTTCAGCCAATTAGCTTGAGTTATCATCACGTGCTATTTTACTAGTCCAGCATATCTCAAACTGTGAATATTATTTTCTTGGGGAATTGCAAGTATATTTGAGGGGGTTGTAGTCAACTGAGCTCTGCCTGGATACGGGCAGACTTCATTAGCCAGTCTGCAGTGGATTAAGCCATATTCCCAGAGCTTTTCGTTAATGGCCTGCCTTTGCATTCCCACCAGAAGCTCTTGCCTTAGCCCTAACCCTGTTTCAGTTCACCACCCAAAGCAATTTAGCCAGGATCAAGAAGCTTTTCATCTCCCAAGATGGTGCTTCTCCTGGACATGTACTGCCATGCATGCCCAGACATCCCGAATGGGCGGTTATCTCGTCATAAGTATCACCCCAACAAAGCCGCCCAGTGGGATGGGTCCATTTCAGCCCTGATGAACAAGAAACAACCTCACAGAAGTTTAAAGCTACTTTTATTAAGATGGACTATAGCAGTGAGGGAGTGCCCAAACTGCGCATGCACAGGCCCAAACTGAAAGGTGTGTATGAGAGAGAGAATGCACACATATACAGACATGCATGAATATGAGCATGCACACCCACCTGTGTGCATGCGCACCAGAGACCCAAAGACCAGCTGGCACCCGAACACCGGCAGTGCGGCAAGAGGTAAGATATTTTTTCTTTCATGAGCTTCTGTTTCGGCATTTGCAGGGAAGCAGAAGCTTACGAAATAAACGCCACAGAGATCGGACCTGGGTCGATGGTGCGCATGCCAGCTATGCCATAGGTCGTCATCACGGGACTATAGTAACAGAACATTGCAAGTTTCGTTATACTTTACCCCCTTTTTATGTGATTTAGGAGGTTGTTTGAGACTTTTATGTATATCTTCTTGGTTTGGGCTTAGGTTATGTTTTGCATATCATTGCTTTGGCTATTGCTGCTGTGTTGATGTGACCAAAACCCTTTTCCAGAGTGGTTTGATTGATAGGGCTTAATAAACACAAATTAATAACCAACAAGAGAAAGAACCTTTGCCCCTCGGTGAAGCAACCCCTAACTATATACCCAGTTTCATGTGATATGTCATTTCATTTATTTAATTCTCTTCTAATACTGTAACCTTTGAGTTTTGAAGTATGAGTTTACTTGATTAGTGAGATAAATCCTTTGTCAATCTGGCATCAGAAGGAAGAGGCTGGGGCATCCTTTCCCTCTTATTAGTTCAATTCGGATATTTCTGAATTTCACTTTGTGAATGCATTGAAGAGGTACCATGCATTTAATAAATTTACAGACATTTCTAACATTCTGTTTTCAGTTCGTCACTATGGGGTACAGATTAATGAGGAAAAAAATGAATTTCAACAACTGTAGAATCAGCATAACGAAATTGACAAAAGTAAAGCCGGGGGGAAGGGGGTCTGAATACTTCTGAATGCACTGCATATGTACTTTTGCAACAACATCGTTTACATTCAAATTTCTGGGGATTTGTTGCCAACCCTTTAATTACATGGCACAGTGAAGCTAGGTAAAATCAATTTTGTAGTGTATTGTCTGACAATGTTTTTTTCAGAGTCTCAGATGAAGACTTTTTCCAGTCCTTTCTAGAGAAGTTGGCAATTGCAGTATACACTTTTTGCATGGAAAGTAGGTGCTCTAACAGAATTAAGATTGTCCCATGACTCGATGCTGAATCATTCATATTTGTTATCTTATTGCCTATGACTAAAATCTTCCCAATTTCTCTGGAGAAATCAGAGCCCAAACAAATCACATACGGGGATATTATTCTGATTGCATTTACTGAACTTCCATTCTATTCTTCACCAAATCTTAAGTCTCAGAACTGTCTCTATTCTTTAGTTTGGGAAGAAGACAATAGAAGTCTTATCATTAAATGAATTAAAATTAAGCCTGAATGAGTTTTTGTGTTAACCTAAACAACAATTGATGCCCTATCTTTCTTGCTTAGGCTTACAATATATGTTCTAAAGCTCTGGATGATGGCAGCTTTTACTTCAGAAATGTCCACACATTTTTCTATAATGGCAATATCTTTTTGACAGTAACTTTTAATTATTCAAAATCC